ACTCTACATGTGGAGGAATGTAAGAAATAGGGATTATACAAATCTCATCAGTGTATAGCTGTTAGCATGGTTGTACTACCAGTGTGAGCAAGCCTGGTACAAGGTGTTACTACACAGGACATGGGTAGACATGTGTTGTTATATCCTGGTGTGTTATATCGTATATCCTGGTTTATAACATCAGTGATTATGTCTTTGCGAGGAAAATCATCAACGGTTAGGGATAGTGTCGAGTGTGTACCATGTCACAGGGTGTCAAATTCTTAGTTTGTTTGTATTATTAATTTTCATCCACGAAATATTTGGAGATTTGGATGAAGAGTTTCCTTGCAGTGTTGTCCTGCTTGTCACCGCCAGGTACAGCAGCATTAGCCATGAGAAATGTGGGTCAGGTAAACTCTAATTAGAATACTTGTGTCCAGTCCTGAGACAGATTAGGAAAAGATGCAGAGAGAATTTCATGAGTGTCTCATTAGATGCAGAAGAGTCGGATGTTGGAATGATTGAACTAATTAATTCAAGCCGTTATGTAGGATCTGAATGATTTTTCTGTTCTAATTAGACATACAATCAATATTTGGCCCGCCCATGTTATATTGCCTTTACTTGGTCACATAGACTTGCATCTAGTCTCTGACATGACCATGTTAGACAGAAAAAACAGCTCCTAAATTATATTCATGAAATATAATAAAGAGGACCCCAAAAACTTTCTTCATTTCAGAAATGAAACTGGTAATCTAGACTTGTCAAATTTTCTAGACTTTCTCATTTCAGGAAACTGGTATTGGACTTGTCATATTTATTTAGGGTCTGTATGACGGACTGTTGGGAACAGACAATAGGCATATATGCAGTGTAAGCTGTATGTTAGTGATGCTGCTTAGATCTTGGCATTGTTACAGTTGGACAGATTACTGGGAAGTTGATATTTTTATCTTGAAGATGTTTGTGATTGTTGTTGGTCTGTAGTACAGTAAGCTTTCTTTTGCTATTTATCATTGCAGTAAGCATTAACAGTTGGACAATACAGTATAATTATGCTTACATTGCAGTACAGTTGGACAATACAGTAAGCAGATTACATTGTGACAATACAGTAAAAACAAGTACAGTTACACTTTACCAGCTATGTTGGTTACAATTTATACAGTATACAGTAAGCTTACATTGCAGTACAGTTGGACAATGCAGTAAGCTTACATTGCAGTACAGTTGGACAATACGGTAAGCTTACATTGCAGTACAGTTGGACAATACAGTAAGCTTACATTGCAGTACAGTTGGACAATACGGTAAGCTTACTAAGATGTCTGCCAGCAGGGGCTTTGACAATGCAGCTACAGTTGGACAATAGTAAGCAGTAATGTCTGCTTACATTTACATTACAGTACAGTTGGACAATACAGTAAGCTTACATTGCAGTACAGTTGGACAATACAGTAAGCTTACATTGCAGTACAGTTGGACAATATGGTAAGCTTACATTGCAGTACAGTTGATGTAAAAGTAAGATCACTAAGATGTCTGCCAGTGGCTATGGGGCTTTGTTACGATAAGTTTATGCTACAGTGCATGCATTGTAATAGTAAGATCACTAAGATGTCTGACAGTTGTGGGGCTGCATTACTACAAGTTTACATTGCTGTGCAGGGCCGGATTCAGCTTTTTGAGAAAGGGGGGTGCACAGTATTGAGAAAAGGAGGGGTGCACACATCATTTTCACCCAAGTTTCAATGGTCATTTAACAAAGTTTTCAGCAGGCAAATAGTAAGATCACTCCCCTGTCACACACACACACACCACACCCCCCACTGGATCTGCCTATGCTGTGCAGGCCGTGAAATAGTAAGATCACTAAGATGTCCGACAGTTGTGGGGTGCATTACCCGATAAGCTTACATTGCAGTAACAGTTAGATCGGCAAAATATATATGGCTACATTACTACATTGCAGTTGTAGGAGTACAGTGCAGTTTCCCTATGTGATTTGATGTCAGAAAGACTGCCTCATGTAATGACGGTCTGGCTGTTACGTCAGTGGATAACGAGCTACCTGTAACATCACACGATCCGCACACATATATCAACATACCTAAATGCATGTTTCTTGAAGTTCGGCTGAGGGACCTACAGCTTTGCGAGCTCAACTACGTCAACAGTGTAAAAACGCTTTGCATGCCTAGCAATGTTAAACTGAAGGAGTGTACTATCATCTATTTCCAAGCATTTGAACTTTGAATGAAACTAGTTCCGTAACCGTAATGGCGTCATCTCGATAAACCGAATGGTACGCCTAACGATATGGGGCTGTAACGAGCTACTCCCTCATCAAGCTGACCAGGTAGAGATGCACTGGTATTCTGTGCATGTTGACTCGCCCCTTTCTTAGTTTAGCTGACACATTTAGGATTCTGAGAAAATATTGACACGCGGGTTTGGAGGTTTTGTGCCGTGCTGCTCGTTCTGTTGCTGGTCAGTGATTGGTGGACAAAACAAACACATGTTGTTGAGGCTGTTATTGATGTTTGGACGTTTGTGTTTGTATCAGGCAGGAATTGTTCGGGCGGTGACACTTCTGCTCTCATTGGCTCGGCTAATATCAGTATTTAACATCTCGTCAGTGGCCTAATTTCAACAGATTGGCGCGTATATATCAAAACTGTTGTCATATTTGATAATCTGCTGAACAGTAAGATGATCTTGTCAGAACTGACACATATTGACAGTTGTGTTTTGCCTGTAGACATATTAATAATGAAGTGGTTTTGAGTTGTAGATACAAGGACTTACGCAAATACTGAACTAATGTCTCTGTATTCAGAAAATCATGATAGGATTAGCAGGGGGATTAGCGGACATGTTGTTGAAGTGTCACTATACACTGTTCCGTTGTCCGTACTTCTGAATCTATACTTTCAAATGCCAATGACTATCTGTAAATGGCATTTTCTAAGCTGCAGTGTCAATGTTTACAGATTTTGACTAATCTGTTTTGACTTCTTTAGCCTTCCCATTCCATGTTTCAGTACAGGTGCTATACTATTGTCTACCATGGACATGTGGGGTGGACATGGTTTTATTGTCTAAAGTTATATATACATAGAGATTAACAGACAGTGTCAGCCACTGTGTGTGTTACCTTCAGCTAACTGTCCATGTCCCGCACAGTTGATCACTTGCTAGATAACAATGAAGGCTGAGACTGGCACCTTCACAATAGTGTTGCACTGAAAGTAAAATTTGTAATCTGTCTATTTTTGGGGGCGGTGGGGTAGCCTAGTGGATTCATTCGTTCGTTCCACTGAAGACCTGGGTTAAAATCTCCACATGGGTACAATGTGCGAAACGCATTTCTGTTGCCCCCTCCGTGATATTGCTGGAATACTAGGGCTGCGCAATATAACCGGTTTACCGATATATACCGGTTCAGACATGAAAACGATACGTATTATTCATCGTTGATCGAAAACCGGTATTTTGACATGCTTCGAAAACTTCATAACATTCGGAAATCTTCGGATATTTCCGTTTTTCACAGGAAGTCATGCGTTTGTTGTAAAATCTCGACCCCAACAATGAACAATATTTATTGTGGTGCCAAATACAAGGGCAAAGGCTCAGCATGGCAGCATTTTGGGTTGGAAAAGTTCACGGTAGATGGAACTATTGATAAGAGTAACGCAGTATGTCAAAAATGCAATGGTAAAGTAAATTAAAAGTTTTTATTAAAGCTTAATCAAGAATAGTGCTTTTGTTGTGTTTTTGCTTTATAAATCAAGCATTAATTTCTTGCAATATATTGCAATACATATCGCAATATGAACATTCTCTGCAATACCCACCCCTATGGAATACTGCTATAAGCGGTGTAAAACCCAAGTCACTCACTCATTCGCTGTCAATTTTCGCAATGCGGTTGCCTCACAGTATATCTGAAAAAAACCCATTTCAGTGGTTCAAATGCTTGGTATGAATGAACTGACCCTAGAAAAGAATAGTTCGAAATATATTTTCGTCATGAGTAGTCCTTAACTGGATTTTATAGCCATATTTATAGGTTCGCTTGAAGGGAACATTGTCCCTTGTTCACTGTAATGTGAAATTTGTCAAGCTGCTCACAGGAGTTTGGGACCGCCTCCGTGGTGTAGTGGTTAGAGCGTCCGCCCGGAGTGCGGAAGGTCGCGGGTTGGATCCCCGACCGCGTCATACCAAACGACGTTAAAATATGGTACTTGTTGGTCCCTGCCTGGCGCTCGGCATTAATGGGTACAACAAGGACTGGTCGGCTCGGAGTCAGTATAATGTGTCTGAGTGGGGTATTCATGCTTCACTGCGGCATGGTATCTCAGTGGGCTAGCACTATAAAGTACTAGCCCAGCTTCAGTCTGGGTTAGTACAAGCAGCCACACATACACATACACACGCATGCCCATCGTCATATGAGCGAAATATTCTCAAGCACGACGTTAAACCCAATTCCACCTCCACCACAGGAGTTTGGTCATGGACTTGTTAAATCCTAGAACCTTAGTTTTTGTCTAACTTTCATTAACATGTGTTTCGAAAATGCTTCCATATGAAGCATTCCCTTATTATAGTTTCTGTATTTGTTTGAGAGAACAGTTCCACATTTGTAGTTTTGTCACAAGCATGAATCAATGGCTGCTCACATTGTACAGCATTAAAGTTTGTGACTTTTGTTGAAACTTTATTGCCTGTAACACAGAGTAAACCCTCTGATTGCCAGTCTCCCTTAATAATCACACACCGTACTGAAAAACATGGCCTTAAATTACAGGGTCGGATGTAATGATCTATACTTTATTCACTACTGGCTCGTGCTGGGATTAATGATGTTTATATGAATACCTCAAATATTTGCTTTGTTATCTTTTCAAGTTGCAGCACTGGTTTCATTTACAGCCAAAACTTATATAGAGTCTTGTATAAATAGTATGTGTGAGAACACTCGCTCAGACCTCCTTGTTTTTGTTTAGGGGCTCAGGCGTGTGTCCTTGCATTTTCCACCGTAGACCGGGACTCCTTTGAAGCCATTGAATCATGGAAAAGAAAGGTAGGTTGGCGGCCGTTCTTCTGGACAACTGACCATGCTGATGGGAATTGTTTGGCTGGGGTGTGATTAATGGCTTAAGCACTTGTAGTAGAGTTGGGAAACAGGTCTTCCAGATTGGTGTATCGGATTAGTGGAGTTTTTTGATGGATGTGACACTGGCATACAGTTCTCAACAGTCGGAGTTGAAACACTTCATAGGATTTCATGTACAAGGAACAAAAAAGTTTATCCAGTTTATGGCTATGTTTATTAAATGTTTATTCAAGACCCTGAACAGGGTTATTGAACTAAAAATTATTTGTATTGTTTTTCATTGTTTGAAATTAAGCATGGAAGTCTAAAGGGTCTTGTCATGACCAAAATGTTAAAAGTTCAACAGTTGTTAACATTCCACAATGACTATGCTGATGTTTGTTCAAATATGCCCCATCTACATGGATTGGTGTTCATACCTTCAACCATTGGTTTGCCAGAGTGGCTTAGTTACTGGATGATGAGCATGGCGTCATCTCTGTAGGAGGTATATCAGATTTAGCTAGCCTTCCAAGCTAAGTTGAAGGCCATTTTATTTTATTTTTTCAAAATTGATATTGTTAAACAATTTAGTTTTTAACTCTTATTATTTTCATAAATTCTAAAGAATTGGGAAATTCTGAATTCCAACTCTCTTTTTTTTTTACTGTCATTTGCTGCAGACCTGAGGTAGAAAATCTGAGCTGGTTTAGCTTAAACCTTGTCAACAGGGTAAAAAAACCTTGTCAACAGGATAACGTAATATTCAGTCACCATCTCACTAATGTAGTCAGTGTTCAGATATTTGGGTCCTGGGGGCCTCAAGGCTTGCTGTTGTAGTATTTGTATTTCTGCTGGCTCCTTAAAACTGGGGCCCAAGGATGATGACTAGAACTCTTTTGACTTTCATGTGCATATTCAGTGTATGAAATAAGCCAAAACTCCAGCCAGACATCAGGGTTTCAAAATTTTACCAGTACAAAATGGATTTGACTAGACCAGACACCAAGATATGACTAAGATGTATATAACATCTCAACTTTGTACCAGACGATCGGGCTGTAAATCTAGACCGTCTGTCTGAAATCTAACCCGTCTCGGGTGGTCCGATGGGTCTTATTTCATACACTGGCATATTTCCTTGTTGTTCCCTTCCTGATGTCTTCTTCTGTTGATGAAGGTAGAGGAGGAGGTTGGAGAGATCTCCATGGTGATTGTACAGAACAAGATAGATCTCATAGATGATGCACTGGTCCAGACGTAAGTAACCGTGGTAACAGTACAGTTTGTTGTAATGTTTGGTACAGTAGTTCATATGTCATGATTCAAATGATAAGATAGGTTTGTGAAACGACTACCATCAGTAGCGTTGAGTCATGCAACAAGTAATCCAGATAAATTAATGTTTACCAATTTTCATTATAAATACAAATGTTAGAAAAGAAGACTTTTTTGATATTTGACCACTTTTGTGTTTTAATATATAAAAGCGTTGTTAATTACTTGTGGAGAAATCATTGCTCAAGGTTTCAACTGAGTAGAAGATTTGACCTTGACATTGGTTACTTGTTCCAGGGAGGAGGCTGAGGCTCTAGCCAAGAAGTTGAGGCTGAGGTTTTACAGGACCTCTGTTAAAGAGAATCTCAATGTGGACGAAGGTAATTGATGTCAGATATATTCTTTATATCAAGTTATTTCACTGGTCATTGTTTTAACATAATTGTCAGATTCTGTAAAAGATTTGCTGTAGAAGGATGATGTATGGGATTGTGTTGTGATGTAACATTTTCCTGAATGTTTCAGTGTTCAGGTACTTGTCCCAGAAATACTTGGACCGCCTCAACATGGTGATCGAGGAGGACACAGCTCCACAGAAGATTGGCCAAGGTGAGATGACTGAGGGGGATGGGGTAAAGTGGTCATTGAGGTCAGGTTGAGATGACTGAGGGGCACAGGGGTGAGGGCCAAGTTGTCATTGAGGTCAGTGTGAGATGACTGAGAGGCACAGGGGTGAGGGCCAAGTGGTCATTGAGGTCAGTGTGAGATGACTGAGAGGCACAGGGGTGAGGGCCAAGTGGTCATTGAGATTGGGGTGAGATGACTGAGAGGCACAGGGGTGAGGGGCAAGTGGTCATTGAGATCAGGGTGAGATGACTGAGGGGCACAGGGGTGAGGGGCAAGTGGTCATTGAGATCAGGGTGAGATGACTGAGGGGTCACAGGGGTGAGGGGCAAGTGGTCATTGAGGTCAGGGTGTGATGACTGAGGGGTACAGGAGGTGAATAGTGTCAGAATAATGTCCCTTGGCAACATAGGGATTTGCTTGTCCTAGATTGACCCCTGTTTCTGGTTTCGGTTGTCAGTCTCATGGTTTGGTTAGAAGATACTTTCCCAGCCACCACTGAGACAATGTTTTAGTATTTGGTTTGCATATCTTGATGATGACAGTTAGATATTACTGTATATTAATTCTGTTCCAGGTCTGATCCAAACGGAAACCAAGAACAACCACAAAGACAAAGAAAAGAAGAAACAAAATGATACGATAAATTTACAACCGAGTAAGAGACGGACTCATGGCAAAAAGTCTCTAGTCGCAAATAAGTGTAGTCTGTTGTAGCGACCCCTGTGTATCTATGTACAGTCCCAGATGTGTTAGAAGAATGACTTCACGGTCAGTCCCCGTAATCCAGCAGCAGATTGTGCCAGAACCTCTCATCCAGCGGTTGACCATGCCAGACCCTGTAAACATACAGTAGATTGTTTCACACTCACTCAACCAGCAGTAGACAGTCCCAGATGTGTTAGAAGAATGACTTCACGGTCAGTCCCCGTAATCCAGCAGCAGATTGTGCCAGAACCTCTCATCCAGCGGTTGACCACGCCAGACCCTGTAAACATACAGTAGATTGTTTCACACTCACTCAACCAGCAGTAGACTGTCCCAGATGCTCACTCACAAGCAGATGTCATCCTAGACTCTTGTAACCGACAGATCATGCCAAACCCTTCCAGAACTTTACAGACCTTCCTAGAACTTCCCAAATAGCACAAGACTCTGCAGTAGACTCTGTCAGACTTTTTGAAAGGCAATAAATCACACCCAGACAGACCTTCTCAACCTGCAATAGGGCATAGACTCTTTCAACCAGAAGTGGAACACGGCCTACTTCAGATTTCAGAAACTTTTGTCCAGAGATGACCACACAGCCAGCAGGGAGCTTTGATAATATCAAACATTGTTGGACTATCTGCGACAGAAGTCATGGCAAGATCATGCATGACCATATGATACTGATACTGAAGTACTGGGGTACTGAAGTACTTTGATACTAAGGCACTGTGAAGTGGATGACCCCTGGACTAGCTTCAGATGAGACCATGTGATAATGTTGATGTGTTAAAAATACAAGTGTGTGTCAAAGGATGAAACAGTAATTGCTTTTAGGTTGTTCTGCTTTGAATGTGTGATAGTATTCTTCAGTGATAGCAATACTGAGATGTTACCCATTACAATTTTGATTACAATTTGTTATTTTTTTCCCAAATTATATTCATGCATCAACTGTTTTCGCAATGGTGACATGGAGCCTTCTACATCAAGATAATACTGACCAATGAGAGCCGTGCTTTCAGTTCACAAAGTGATAAATATACATTACACAGCAATACAAAGTGTCAGATTGGTTGTTTTTTTATGCTTTGTTTCTAGTTGTAAATTACACCCTCTGGTCACTCTAGAGCTTCAGTTAGGGGTTTGCCTCTCCAAGATTAGGTCTTGGTCTCTTTCACAAAGCATTATACATATTTGAAGAAACTACTCATGTAAATACTGATGAAGGTAAATAAGGGAACATATGAAAATAACACAGCATGTAGGGGCTTCATGTGACTGGAAAAGCCCAGATTTATGAGCTGGTATTGGTACGTTGTGTTTACATTGAAAACTGTCAGTGTTGTGGGCATCCCTGATGTCAAATAATTCTTCTTGTATGTCCTTTTGTTTACAAACATCAGTATATGATGCTGTCATGACACCATTCTTCAATTTAAGGTACTGTCAGGTAGATTATTATATGAATGTTTCCATATATAGTCAACATTACACGAGTTTGTGCAGGTTATAAAATGGCATGAATTTAGATTCCATCTTGAAAAAACTTCAAAAATTAATGATGTTGTATGAAAGAACTTTTTTACCAAATTCACAGGTTATCTTTATAGCATAAAAATTTGAAAATAGCTTTGAAATGTGTTAAGAACGAGAAAAGAGGGGAAAAAAAGAATTTTGTAGCAGTTTGTTTATTGGTCTCCTTCCAATGATGCATTCTGATCAGTCCCAATACAATGTAAGGGCCTGGAATGTGCCACATGTCATGGCTATATATAGAAATGGCAAGATGGTGTTTGCTGTGTCAGTTGAGGGATAATGTTTTTGGCATGGAGAAAGCTCAGTTGCGGCCTTGAATTTTGTGACTGAAGCTTAATCACAAATAGATACCACTTTCCTTAGAGTATAAGTGTGACAAGTATCTGTCTGAACCAAATTATATATTTCATAATCTCATTGTGTGAGATCTGTAAATCTGACACAGACACATCAGACCACATCATTCCAGTGTCATCTATACACAGTTTAAGTATCATAACATGTTAGTGATGTACGTCCAAACATGTTTAGTCTCAAGTCATCTTGAGCAGGTTTTCTATGTGGTAACGTGTCTGTGCAATATTCCCGTGTTCCTCAGATTCCAGAACCATTTTCTCCACTGTTCTGATGTCGCCATCTGTTGCTAGGTGCCATGTCTTCTGCCTGATGAGACAACAGAGGCCAGTCACTGGTGTTGTCATGTGTCATTGAAAGTTATCTCCCTATTCTAGCAGTATCACTGATCGTGGGTTTTAAGTCCGGATTTGCCCTAATTATGAATTTGGTGAGTCAGCATTATATCTGAGTTTCAATGACACGATCATTTGTGTATGATCAGAGTCACTTGAAAGTTTCTTTGTTTATCAAGCTGACATGCTTTGATATATCTGAAATATTTCTCCGACAATTGTGAAGTCCAACTCACTTATTCACATGTCTTAAAAAAAGCTTTAGTACTGAAGCAAAGTAGAATTGCATTGTTTGTTAAACGCTGCTTTCTGCAATATTCCTGCTATGACAGTCTGTAAATGTTCAAGTGTGGACAAACAAATCATCAGCACCCATCTCAGTAATGACATCCATCAACCAACCCAGAAAACCTGACCATCAGACCCCATGTCTTAGAGCAGAGACCATTAATTGTTTATAAATTGTAGATTTGTGGTTTTGGCCATAGGACTTTTTACTTCTACAAATGCTCCGATGTTAATTTACCCACACTTTGTGAAGTTCTAAGTAAAACAGGATCTCATGAGGTGCACAGGTTTAAGTGCATTTTACGCTGAATCTCATTGTGATATTAATCCAGTCACAATGGCGGTATATGATGTAATGAAATGCATCCCGCCCACGACTGAAACTGGCAAGGTCAGACCCAGACAGCAGTGTAGCTTAGATATTACTTTTAAGATCTGACATATTTGTTGGACTGAGATCTGCAGCTCATTTTGAAGTTCATAAGAAATTTATGACATTTCTACTCTGTACATTGATGTCATTGATACTCTGACATCATGCCGACAGTTGTTGCCACTGGTTACAGTCTTGTATTAGTTCTTGTTGACCATTTTCCATGTTCGACCAAATCCATCTTTTTTTGTATTTATGACATTAAGTAAGATATCCTTGAGGATACATGTCACAGATCTGAGAATCCATTGATCTGAATTCCAACAATTATCTGAGTCGTCCAAGTTTTCTTTATATTTAATAATCGCCATATCATGTCATGTTTGGAAATATGACGAACAAATATGTCAAATTTATTGCTATATACTCTGAATACAATGTTTTAACTATTTTTGCTATAGACATGTGGTCGAGATTGTACTGCTGACAGGTGATGTATTTTGATATTGATGTACAATGTGTGTTCCATGCGTCCATGTCGTCATGCAGTTCCCTGAAACGTTGTGTCAGATGAAGCTCATTGTCATATCCTGCTGGAACTATGTGTGACACTGGTAATCTGGACAGATGTGTTCGCTTGGAAATCCTTTGGGTTTGCACACATCTGGGCAATGAATCTTTGGTGTGTTTAATCATCTGGAATTGGATTAAATAAGGTTCCACTCACATGGAATACCTGATTCACTGTACACAATACCTGATTCACTGTACATGGAATACCTGATTTACTGTACACGGAATACCTGATTCACTGTGCATGGAATACCTGATTCACTGTACACGGAATACCTGATTTACTGTACATGGAATACCTGATTCACTGTACACGGAATACCTGATTCACTGTGCATGGAATACCTGATTCACTGTACACGGAATACTTGATTCACTGTACATGGAATACCTGATTCACTGTACACAGAATACCTGATTCACTGTACATGGAATACCTGATTCACTGTACATGGAATACCTGATTCACTGTACACAATACCTGATTCACTGTACATGGAATACTTGATTCACTGTACATGGAATACCTGATTCACTGTACATGGAATACCTGATTCACTGTACACAGAATACCTGATTCACTGTACATGGAATACCTGATTCACTATACACAGAATACCTGATTCACTGTACATGGAATACCTGATTCACTGTACATGGAATACCTGATTCACTGTACACAGAATACCTGATTCACTGTACATGGAATACCTGATTCACTGTACATGGAATACCTGATTCACTGTACACAGAATACTTGATTCACTGTACACAGAATACCTGATTCACTGTACACAGACAACCTGATTACCATTATATTGCCTGTTCTTACCTAGAAAGGAAAGGCTAAGATTTTAAGCAGACGAGAATAGATACTGGTATGATTTTAGCCAGATGGGAAAGGATAAGATTATAGCCTTCTCATTATTGCTGGAATATTACCGTACTGTAACTCATGGAGCCTCACTCACTCTGTAAAACCGAAAATCTGATCATCAATATGTAGAGAATCATGTAATGCTGTGAGAGTACCAGCCCACTTATACAAACGGATTGAATATATGTTATGTCAGAATGATAAATCTAAATATTATTTGGAAAGAGTGCAGAAATTGTGTCGCACTTTTAAATTCACAAGCCATCCAGTCAACACAATACATTAGTGCCTGTGTAATATTCATTGTTTGATGCACAGTGCTCAGTCATGACGAGGCTTATTGCTTGCATATATGAAGATAAATTTTACTTGTTGCTTTAGAGATTGTCCCTGATTGTCAGTGAACATGTGTGTTTTCCCACACACAATATTCTTCATAGAATCTGATGAGTCCAGTATGAAGGATTGGGGTTTCAGAAGAGTTGGGCACAATTTCTGGCACTATCTCCAAACTTTGGGTTATCATTCTGATCTAACATGCATTTCTTCTGTACTGTTGTTATGATCAGGTTGTTTGGAGGCCTGAGTGGAAGCAGTGTAGACTATGTTGGGAATTGGTTAAAATCTCATAATTGATGATAGGTTCATTACAACCGATCAATCATCAAAAATAATTGGTTAGCGTCATTTATGAAATGTGTTAGTGCACAAAAAATTAAGGAAAAAAACCAAGTATATCTTTGGGGTTTTTTGGGCAAAATTTCACATCTTTAAAGGATGACTAGTATGGAGGAACATAAATTTCTTAGAGTCTTTAAGATAAAGTCAATCATGACTTGGAACGAGCTTGTAGTGCTTATGAAATGTAACAGACAAAACCAACCTAGTGAAAAATACTGTTAATGAAAACAACCGTTCTAGAATTGTTTGTGTTCGATTATGAGAAAACATGATCGATTGCTTGGTCATTTAGTCACTGCGACCAATCTTGGATTATTTCAATTAATCGGTCCACCACTAGTGTAGACCAAGTATCCAGGATTGCAAACATTAACCAGTAACTTCAGGACTTCTACTTCAGTTAACTGCTCTAAGGGACACAGCAGATCACCCATGCTCTGCACAAGCTCTGCACAAGCTCTGCACAAGCTCACTGTAACATCAGGAAGATAACCCAATATGCATAATGTTAATAAGATTGAATGTGTCTGTACATTAAAGAATCTCTGACTCATAGAGAACTGCAAGACAATATTGCTGTTGAGAGATTAGCATTGCATGGGGATTAGATCCAGGATTTGTAAAAGGGTGGGATGCTCCAGTACTGAAGTCCTGAGGTTACGTAGCCGTGGATACAGTTAATTTGATGTCTGTAAAGAGGGATGCTGACCTCCTGCTTCCTCTGGTGAATCTGCCTGTGAGGTTCTCAAGCTGGTATCGGACCAGGGCGGATTTTTACAGTTGAGTGTACAGTGTAAAACGAGATGTTAGTCTAGCATGTGTTTTACTGTCAACTGAATTTTATCTTCTGGGTATTCATTAGACTATCCAATTCATTTTGACAGTCTGACAGCCTTCACCTTGAAAATATACTTATATATGTCCAAATCTTATATTTTAATCCATATGATTAAATCCATGCATCAATTATACCAAATGATTTTATTGTGTTTGTACCCAAATGACCTCTGTATTCTGGAGTAATACATCGGAGTCTGTGTTTTATATTTGTATCAAGAACATTGTACACTTGTTAGTATTGGCACACAATTGTCCTTCATGGTTCGCCCTGCAAGTGTGACATCATCTGTTTGTTGTCCTGCTGTTGTGTGTGAACAGCATTACTGATATGTACTGGCCTAGCCGCATTCACATCAATGTGTTGTTGCTTTGTAATTTATGCAAGAATGTGAGCATCATCATATGAAGTCATTGACTATGTAGGGATTGTCTCATAAGTTCAGAACCATTTTCAACTCACCTGACAGTGTGTCACATATGACAGTGAGTCAATCTACATTTTAATCTACGTTTGTTATTCATATCTCTCTACCAGTCAACGAAACTTTTGTGGAAATGAAATATTGTTTCAGCTGTTTTTCTTTTGAGGCAGTCCCTAGGTCGTAGTTTAGGGGCATTTAATGTAGGTTTTATGGCTTTGTTCCCAACATGCTATGCAATGAAATATATACGAGCTGTTATTGTGTAGCAGTGGATATTGTGTTGTTATATACAGTTGTCATTTATTACCAGATGGAGTACCGTGTCATTACTCATCAACCCCTAACCATCACAACCCTTCCCCATCTCTCCTGGTAACCATGGCAATGTCTCCTGAATCCGATACACTTTAATTGGAATGTGAGCTAAAGGTTTAAGTCCTAAATCCCATCAAAGTTTGTGTTAGTAAAACAGTGGATGAAAACATAAAAACTTCAGAGGGGCCATATAATTTCAAGAGGGGATACGTAAAGAAACATGAAATGCATTTAAAAGCCACATTTACAGGTCTAGAAAAGAGAAATTGTAATCACATGAGTTCATCTTACTACAATAAGATACCGTACTACAATTATCATTAAGTGTCTCCTTATGAGACAAAAACACAGTGTTGCGTTATTTATGTGTTTGAGTATCTCACTTTAATTGCAAACATCATCGTATGTTGCATGTCTTGAATACAGAAACAATCTGTCATTTGGTGCGATAAATGATGGCAAACATAAGTACAGTGTTTTATTTATTTGTTTCCTAGACTAGATATGTTACTTTTTTGTCTGTTATTTATACTTTTCAATGTGTGGATTTCCTACGATTTCCATGTACAGATCTCAACTGAGTGTTGATGAACCGATGTCATTTGTGATGACTCGGCACAATCTTAGTTTCACAAGTGTGTATGAAATGACATGCGTGGATATTTTGTATTTGAGATAAAATGTTTTTTGAATCATGAATATTTATTACATTTAGTTGTGTGTATCTCATTTTCATTACTCACCAGGTAACTAGGTTTATATTTTATGTCATGCCACAGTCATGTTTTAAAATCAAAATAGTAAAATCACATGTTCTGTTTCTTTGTTCAAACTACACCATTCCTTTCTCATTCTCCGAGTGCAATTACTACAACAAGAAACATGAAATATCCTGCATTTCCATGATTTATTTGTCCATAGTTATTTGTGATGATAGAAGCGAAGTAATCAAAATTTCACTCTCTTAGTTTATTCTGTAGTTCTCTTTGTTCATCCTTAATATCTTGCCAACCAAATATCTACATTACAATTAACATAATACCATGGTGATACAATAGCTGAACATTTGATGCTTTCAAAGAACACTATAGATGATGCAAAGTTTCAATGCTTTATATACATATATTTACAAAATGAAAATACCTTTCAATTATTGGTGTATATACAACAGTGTATAGTGAGCTACATGCAAGTATTTACAACCACCATTACAGGCATTCCTGGAGATATAATACCATACGAGGCCATGGTAGTTTGTGCTTGATTCCTTCACTTTGAAAAGATCTTAAAAATGAATGGCTTCTGTCTGAAGCCTCTCTTGGGTGAACACGGCATAAGGACACCTTGTCCTAGAACAAGGATAAAGCTTGTCCAGGACCTATGAGACCTTGTCACAGACATTTAGGACATTATGTCTAGGGCCTACATTTGTCCAGGTGTCCAGGGCCTAGGACCTACAGAACATCTTGTCCAGGTTCCAGGTTCTATAGGATCATGTCCAGGTTCCAGAGGACATCTTGTCCAGGTTCTATAGGATCATGTCCAGGTTCCAGAGGACAATTCTTGTCCAGGGCCTACAGGACATCTTGTCCAGGTTCTATAGGATCATGTCCAGGTTCCAGAGGACAATTCTTGTCCAGGGCCTACAGGACATCTTGTCCAGGTTCTATAGGATCATCTTGTTCTTGTCCAGGGCCTTCTTGTCCAGGACTTCTAGGATCATGTCCAGGTTCCAGAGGTTCAGAGGACAATTCTTGTCCAGGGCCTACAGGACATCTCTCCAGTTCAGGACATTCCAGGTTCCAGAGGACAATTCTTGTCCAGGGCCTACAGGACATCTTGTCCAGGTTCTATAGGATCATATCCAGGTTCCAGAGGACAATTCTTGTCCAGGGCCTACAGGACATCTTGTCCAGGTTCTATAGGATCATATCCAGGTTCCAGAGGACAATTCTTGTCCAGGACCTCTTGTCCACATAGACATCATGTCCAGGTTCCTACCTACAGGACATCTTGTCCAGGATAGTATCCTTCCAGAGGACAATTCTTGTCCAGGGCATCACATCCAGGTTCAGGACTTACAGAACATTTTGTCCAGGACCTACAGAACATCTTGTCCGGGTTCTAGAGGACATCTTGTCCAGGTTCCAGAGGACAATTCATGTCCAGGACCTACATGACATCATGTCCTGTACCTACAGGACATCTTCTTCAGGACCTGCAGGGCATCACGTCCAGGTTCCAGAGGACACAACGGGGCGTTCGATTCATGCCGAAGACCCGGGTTCGATTCCCCACATGGGCACAATGTGTTAAGCCCATTTCTGGTGTCCCCCGCCGTGATATTGCTGGAATATTGCTAAAAGCGGCGTAAAACTAAACTCAGTCAGTCAGTCAGTCAGTCCAGAGGACAACTTGTACAGGACAGCTTGTCCAGGACCTACATGACATCATGTCCTGTACCTACAGGGCATCATGTCCAGGTTCCAGAGGACAACTTGTACAGGACATTTTGTCCAGGCCTACATGACATCTTGCTCAGGTTCTAGAGGACAATCTTATCCAGAACCCACAGGACATCTTGTCCAGGCCTACATGACATCTTGCTCAGGTTCTAGAGGACAATTCTTATCCAGGACATCTTGTCCAGGTTCTAGAGGACAATGCCTATCCATTACCTACAGGACATCTTATCCAGGACCCCTCGGGACATCTTGTCCAGTACCTACTGGAGAGCCTATCCATGTTTAGAGGACATCTTGTCCACAACCTACAGGACATGTTGTATAAGGCCTCAAAACAGCTTGTCCAGAACATTTGGGACAATGGATGTGAAATAACTTGCTAAAATAAATCCTTACAAGGTTTATGATCAGTTTATCATGGCCTAATATAAATGTTTCCATCTTATTCCCACATGTATGCCTCAGTATGAAATATAGGTATTTACATCAACATATGCACCGCCACCTGATCTTCCTCACAACTAGTCATAGGACATAGGACATGAGTTCAGCAGAGGTTCTGACCATAGGTACCTTTCCTAAACTTCCAATCATACACCAGCTTCCGTGTGCATTCATATGACATAGTCTAGAATATTATAGATATCTGGTTGCTGTAAACCAGTAAATATGATTTTTATTTTTTTTATCAACTTTGTGTCAATTTAAGGTCACCAAAGTCAGTGTCTGTTTTGTTTGTATGAATGGAAGTATGCAGGTGATAGAAAATGTGGTTGTGACGTTTGCTTGTGTCTGAATATTACTATATATTGCTCTTAATCTTTTGAAAAACTATCATTCCTGTGAAAGATGCTTGCGTTTAATCCTTTACAAACCATCCTATTAATGAAAGATTTCTATTTTTTGTAATGTAAAATGCTGCTTGATCTCAGTTACTTTTTCTTTGGGCCAGAACAGTTAATTTTTGTGTTTTACAGGTGAGCCTTTAACAAGTGAAATTGAAAATTTGATTGAAATTTACTTTAATATTCTTATTTGTTGGGATATACACATTTTGTTTCATGATGTTCTTTTAAAAACATTACTCAGTAACCTTTTAGTAACCTCTATCTTTTCTGTGATTTTCTCCCAACTTTTTACCAAATCGGTCAAGAAAACCATCAAACAAAAATTAATGAATCTGGCCTCAATCTGATTTAAAAGCAACAAAAAGCACAATGATGTTGTGTGGAATATTCCTTCCAGGGTTTATGTCGCTCATCGACTTTCACTCACCGTCCATTGTGTCCAGTGTGGGAAAGTATATTTTTACATTTAATGCAGAAAGAAATATATATGGCAGACAATTCCTTCCATTCCCATGTTGCTTGTTACCTCCACGTGTCTTGTTGTGATGTGTCCGGTGGAATGCTTACCTCTGTGTTGTGTGCTATATCTGTGTTATACCTGTACAGTACAATACTGCAGCCAGATGACATGTGGTAATAAAGGTTTCAAATAGCAGTGTGGTCTTTTCGTTTTTATTTCACTGCGGTGTCTGCTGTTGAAGAGGGTATGGCTGATGATGTTCACTGAAAAGATGAACATGTTTTTCATGCACCAAGTAGAAACCCACTTTTGGTGTCCTTGGCTGGGATTTCTCAAGGATTCCAGACTCAGAGCCTTTAGCAGGCAGATTGAGAAAGTAATTGCTAATTTCTGCAAAATTGTATTTTTAGGGTTCATATCTTTCTATCTTCAGAGGTATTTTATCTCTGTGCTTTGATATATTTCATTGCAGTCATTCGGGAATAAGGATTGAATCTACTTTCAATTTATTTGTCTTGTTGTCATTAAAATGCAACTCTTCTCTTCAGAGACATGAAATATATCAGTTATCAAATAATTAAAATTGGAGAGGCTTTTTTTATTCAAGTTCGGGGATTTTTACATTTGGTGCTTTCTAGAGCCAAATATTAACCTCCAGATGAATCCCTTCTGTGCATTATCTGTTGATGGGTAAGACCATGGGATGCTATCTAGCCAAGTTCCTCAGTGCACCAGGCTTGAAGAAATAGCAAACTGAAAGAGTGAGTGAGTGAGTTTAGTTTTACGCCGCACTCCAGCTATATGGCGGCGTCTGTAATTAATCGAAGTCTGGACCAGACAATCCAGTGATCAACATGATGAGCATCGATCGCAAAGGGAACCATGGCGTGTCAACCAAGCCAGCGAGCCTGACCACGGATCCGTTAATTAAGCCTCTTACAACAAGCATGGGTTACTGAAGATCAATATTCTAACCCCTTCACCTTCAGGGTGCAAACTGAAAGACGACTGGCTGGTAGCAGTGTGTGACCTATCTTATGTGTGAGTATAGCATCAATGAAAGCAAATATCTGCTTGCTCATTCACAGCTGAGAAGAACTGATTCCCAGTAACCAATGGTTCTGGTGGTCAGGTCAGGCTAGGTTCACTGTGTGTCACTCTAACCTCACATTGTTGGTCCTGGATATTGGTCATGATATTAATCACATGTTTTTCTTGTCCAGAGTCAATTATGTACTTGGTGCCATCATCCTGTAAGTGATATTTCTGAGTGCAGCATTAAACAAACACTCCATCATAGGTCCACCCTAACCTACATTCACCCCATCTTTCACTCCTTCCCTCAGGCCACTAAGGGATCAGGTGGTCAGGCTTGCTGACTTGGTTGACAAACGTCATCGTATCCCAATTGCGTAGATCGATGTTCATGATGTTGATCACTGGATTGTCTGGTCCAGGCTCGATTATTTACAGACCGCTGCCATATAGCTGGAATATTGCTGAGTGCCGCGTAAAACTAAACTCACTCACTCACCCCACTATCCCTCAGTCACCCATTACGTCATTCATCCATACAGACGGTCCAAATTTGTTTGTGTGTGTGTGGATAGACAGAAAGTTTCCAATTTCCCAAGAAAACAGTTGAATAAACACTTTGTCTATCAATGCAAACCTGTTTGTCCAAGGGCAGAATACCCAGGACCAGGGATAATCTACTACATCGTCTCCCTCCCGTTATATAGTCTCCCTGCCAGGACGAACAGCACCTCGCCCTCTTAAGTTAGCATAAAGGATTTATTTCGAGACTTAAAAGGAGAACTTATAGAACCCAGAATCGGTCAGGTCAACTGGAATGATGTATGCGTCATTTCTCCCTGCCCACCAAGCGGTTAGCCCGACCACTACAGTGACTGACCGCTAGCCATGTTACGGTGGTCTTGCATTGGAGGTCAAACTATTCTGTCAGTACGTGTAGCTGTAATTATTCTCAGATTGGTTCAAATTCTATGCCCTGATTCAAATGGATTTCCAGTTATATAGGCCATTTGGTCCAGTAAATGAAATAAATATCTTGTCTTCCACTGGAACACCGGAAGTGTAGTATTAACTGGGGTATTTCTCCTCTTGTCTTGAACAACACTGATAACTTGTTATCCCACTATTATTCAACAGTACAATATACACTTCGGACTTGAGGGTGATAACCATTCTAACATGCATGGTACACCAGCAGGGTTTCCACCATACATGTATAGAGCTAGCATCAAGTTACGACAAAGGTCAACAAACAGAATACGATTACGACTGTTCGGAATATAGATTAATGCTTTCAAGGACGTGGTCTACGTACCTTCTGTGTGGGACACAAACGTTTAGAATGCCTTTCTACAAACGATGTGACTCCTTAACTTACTTAAACGAAACGAATAGAGACCAACCAACACGTCAGCTAGACTGGAGCTGCTACTAACCCTTGAAGATCCGGGTTAGCATTGGTCCTCTGTAACCCGTGCTTGTCGTAAGAGGCGACTAACGGGATCGGGTGGTCAGGCTCGCTGACTTGGTTGACACATGTCATCGTATCCCATAGGTCGAAGCTCATAGTGTCGATCACTCGATTATTTACAGACCGCCGCGATATAGCATGAATATTGCAGGGTGTGGCGTTAGACAACAAATAAAACATGGTAGATTAAATATAGTAACATGAAAGAATCCGACGTTCTCAAGCTTATTGTCAGTGGTATACCTTCCTGCGGCCTAAAACAACAGTCGGATATCATTTGCGTACCTGTGATACGACCGCCTCCGTGGTGTAGTGGTTAGAGCGTCCGCCCAGAGTGCGGAAGGTCGCGGATTCGATCCCCGACCGCGTCATACCAAAAGACGTTAAAATATGGTACTTGTTGGTCCCTGCCTGGCGCTCGGCATTAATGGGTACAACAAGGACTGGTCGGCTCGGAGTCAGTATAATGTGTCTGAGTGGGGTATTCATGCTTCACTGCGGCATGGTATCTCAGTGGGCTAGCACTATAAAAAAACAGCTTCAGTCTGGGCTAGTACAAGCAGCTGCACATACACATACACACGCATGCACGTCGTCATATGAGCGAAATATTCTCAAGCACGACGTTAAACCCAATTCCACCACCACCACCTGTGATACACTATAGTAACAGATTCAGATGCCGGTCATCTCATTTTAAAACAAACGCAAGCATTTAACTGGTTTCAATGGTCTGCGAACCAGGTAGCCACAAACATCTTGTACGATCTGACCTGTATTAATAATAATTGAAATCTAATATATTCATATATTTTTGCTCAGCAGTACTGATAATGTTCAGAGCTAAATTCCCTCAGTTGATGTCACGCTGATCTAGGAAGCTGGTTCGGGTAACAGCAGCTGTAGTATTCATGTTGGCTCGTTTACCTGCGGGAAAGGTCACCTGGCATTACTGCCTGTCAGCGGTTTGTTTTTGTGGATCTACAAACAAACCAAGACTTTCCGTAAGCTAGAGACGGCGTCTGGGCGAGAAACGGAGTCAACTCTAAACGTAATTACTTTGAAGACATGAAACTTTTTATTGATATCTTCTTTTATTTTTTATGGAAACACTTTCTGTTTTGTTCTTCACGACGTTTCGGGGCTTATGGTGAAGGGACTGGTAATTTAGTCTAATCTCTCAGTCACGCCTGTAAGCATATTTTTTTCACAAAACAATCGCCCCATTTCATTTTGTCTCGTCAGCTCCAACTGCCAATGCTCATCCCCTTTTCAGTGAAATAATTAACAGGCATAAAAAAAGGATCCTATTCGAGGTGCCCTTATAGAATTAATTCCGTTTGACGAAATACGTCACCATCTAGACGTTATCGTGGAAGGAACGTTTAAACATCACAACAACAATGTTTTTATCTATGCAAATAATGAGCTTATTACCAATTAATTCATTAGGAGGTAAAGAAAGTATACTGACATGTTTGTTGGAGGCTACACATGGAACACACAAGAATTGTTTATGCAAACGTTCATACAGGTAACATAGACCTGGTTTTGCACGACCGTTCATAAATTAAGGCTAGGGTGGGGGGTGATGATCTTTATGGAGCAGCATGTACAATGTGAATGACCCCCCTTAAATCTATGTACGAAATAAGTCACACACACACACACACACACACACACACACACACACACACGTCATGTACAAAATCAATTACCCCTCCCATAATCTTTAAGCATAAGTTTAATTGCATGTACAAAATTGCTGTCCCCCTCCCTTCCCTTAAAATCATCATCATCCCTTGAGGTGAGGTGAGGAGGTGAAATTGGGTTTAACATCGTGCTTGAGAATATTTCGCTCATATGATGACGTGCATGCGTGTGTATGTGGATGTGCGGCTGCTTGTACTAGCCCAGACTGAAGCTGGTTTTATAGTGCTAGCCCACTGAGATGCCATGCCGCAATGAAGCATGAATACCCCACTCAGACACATTATACTGACTCCGAGCCGACCAGTCCTTGTTGTGCCCATTAATGTCGAGCGCCAGGCAGGGACCAACAAGTACCATATTTTAACGTCTTTTGGTATGACGCGGTCGGGGATCGAACCCGCGACCTTCCGCTCTCCGGGCAGACGCTCTAACCACCACACCACGGAGGCGGTCCTCATGATCCTTTGAACGGTCCCTAAGATGTTTGCAGTGTTCCAAAGACTGTTCTGAGACCAGATACATTTGGAAATGTTTTAACTTTGTAATTTAAAGCCGGAAGAGACGATATATCTGGCCAAGTCGCCATTCCTCCGGCACGCAGAAACCTTTGGTCGTGGGTTCGAATCCCGTTTCGCCATGATTATGTTTCGGGGTTAGTCTGCACCATCCCCGTGGTCGTAGCCTCCACAGTGGTAAACGCCTGAGACCTGCATCGCTTCGGGACTCCCTCCCACTTTAACCTGACCCCTCGTGGTATGATTGGAATTATATGCAAAACGACGTTACCCCCAGCTCATTCAATTGTCAATTCTTTTCAGAAACAGTTTCTTCAACCATCTTGTCAGTGTAAAAGACCCTGTAATTGTTGTTTTATGGGAATGCAAATCAACCATGGATACAGATTTTGTTTCCAAAAGAGCATGCAAACACGGGTTCGAGTATCAGTGACCATACATAAAACCTGTGGCTGTTAAAC